CCGGGCTGTATACAGAAGAAGAAACTGGCAGTAAGACAAGGGGCATCGCTGGCTCTAGGTCCCGTCACATGTGCTGCTCTGTTTTCCTTTTCCACCTGTAGTGGATGGACACTGTTGGTGGCCAGCCCAGGTCCCCTTATCAGTTCTGTTCCCCCAGCCCCCAGCTACTGTGAGCTTTGTGCATTAATCAAGCCTTTTTCTTCTTCTGTCTTTGTGGTTCTTTGACATCTGGGGCCTTGCTGCCACTGGATGCCAGTTCCTGGAGGTAATAAAGACCTCACCTGCGCATAGGCCTTTCCTATGCACACCAAGCAACCCACAGCCCAGGCTCTCAACCACCTCCCTTTTCAAGGGTTTATACTCCAGAACATGATTCCTTGGCCTGATCACCCCCAGGCAACTCAGGGCACCCAAGAGCCTGCTAAAATTACTCACACTAGCCAATCGGAAGCCTGCTTACCTTGCCTCATCTGTTCCTTCTTGAGGAAACCACAATAAGTGCTCTTGCCCACGGTTCCCCTTTCTCCCTCTGCCTCCTGCCTGACCCTGGGGCTTCCCTGTGTGGCCCTGCATGGCCTGGAGCATTCCCTTCTTTTGGGATCTGTGAGAATAACAAACTACCTTTCCAACGGTAATCATCTCCTGATCTGTTGACCAAACCATACCTAAATAATAATAATATCTACATTTATTTATTTATTTATTTTAAAGATACGTTTATTGATTTCAAAGAGAGGAAAGGAAGGGGAGAGAGAGAGATGGAAACATCAGTGATGAGAGAGTCATTGATCGGCTGCCTAGCCCGCAACCTGGGCATGTGCCCTGACCAGGAATCGAACCCTGATCACCTGGATCCTAGGTCGATGCGCAACCGCTGAGCCATGCCCGGCCAGGCAATAATATCTACATTTTAAAACACTTTGCTGCTAACAAATTACCCAGTGACCTTCTTCCCAGGATTGTCCTTGGGGTCAAAGTGCTTGAGAGTTTGTGCCTCAGCCCCTTCTGAGGACCCATAGCCCATGACTAACTAGAGGGCTATAGTAGTAAATCTCCAAATATGGCCCCCAATGACCATGCCACTCCCATCCCCATATTAAGTAGTCCCCTCCCATATTCAGCCTGGGTTGGCCTGACTTGCATTTACCAACAGCAAATGGTGGGAGTGCCGAGCCAGGCGTGGCTCAGTGGTTGAGCTTTGACCCAGGATCCAGGAGATCGCAGTTCAATTCCCGGTCAGGGCACATACCCAGGTTGCAGGCTTGCATGCAGGAGGCAGCAGATCAATGATGACTCATCATTGACATTTCTATCTCTCTCTCTTTCTCTCTCTGACATCAATAAAGATATATTTTTTAAAAAAGAAAGAAAACGGTGGGAGTGACATTATGCCTGTCCCAAGCTTAGTCTTCAAGAGACTGGCAGCTTCTGCCTTCTCTCCTAGAAATGCTCACATTGGGGAGCCCTGAGCTACCATGTAAGGAGTCTATGCCTCTGTTGGGGAGCCCACATGGAGAGGGAGAGCACTGAGACTACATAGAAAACAAGAGAAGTCCAGATGTCCACAGCCCAGTTTTGTCCAGCCTAGCAGCCATCCCTGCCAAGGCACCAGCCGCCCCCGAGCATGCCACCTTGGATTTTACTGCCCTGTTGTTCCTAAGATGACTGCAGCCGTAGTTGACATCATACAGCACTGAAGAACCAGCTCACCGAGCCCAGTCAATGCAGAAAATTGCGAGCAATTGAAGATAGATATTATTTTAAGACTAAGTTTTGGGGTGGTTTGTTATTCAGTGATAAAAAACCCAAACTGGGACACCCCCCCCTTTGCCTTAAAGGCCCAGTTCCCTTTGCCTCCAGGTGGGAATGATCCTGCAACTTAATTTATCCTCTGGGATCAGGCTGAGGTTGGGACTTCACCTGACATCTCACTCCTGTTGATCTTCCCCTTCACTGTCCTCTTCCATCCACTCCCTTTTGGTTTCTCCTGGGAGCATTTCTTTAGTAAATCATGGACACGTGAATCTTGTTTCAGAATCTGATCTCAGACATGGTGTTTCTGATTTTCTCATCTCCAACCAGAAGCCAAGGGTCTAGCTCTGGAATCTCCCTCCCCCACTCTTCCCTGACCCTCTCCTGCTTCCAAAAAGCATAGAGCACCTTCCAGATGCACCAGCAACAGGCAGCCATGTAGTAGGTGGGGTGAGAAGAAGACACCCGAGAGGCCTCTGCAGGAAGCAGCAAGCAGCTTGTTTGCCCTGGCCAGCACCGAGGGAAACCTCCCCGCCCCACCACACAACCATGGGGACCCTAGGGAGGGGCAGGCAGGCAAGTCGGGCGGTTGGCATATCAGCAGCAGTGTAGGGGCCGGGTGGAGATGAGAGTTGTTTCTGATTCTGGGTCTGTGGTGGGAGGGAACTCTGCTGGTTGTTCCAGCCCCTCCCTCAGGGAGTCTGTCTCTCTGACCTCCCCATGCCTACCAGTTCTCAGTCCCTGGAAAGCCCAGAATCCATCACCACGGACCCTCCAGCAGGTCCCACAGCCGGGTGCCACTGGAGTCAGATAAATCAGCAGAGAAGATGCTGGGGGCTGGGGGGCCACAGCCCAGCGGAGGACCCCCACTCAGAGCTTCCAGCCAGTCCAAGGAGTCCGTGGGGCCCCTGGGAGAGGGGGACGGGGAGTTTGTGGGGGACGGGAGCGAGGAAGAGAAGACAGATGAGAGGCCTTCAGAGTCTGGGGAGAGGGACAGCACGTCCAAGGAGCCAGGGAAGTCCAGGGGGATGGGGGGCAGCAGGTCTGCAGGGGAAGGAATGGAGTGTGAGCTTAGGAAGGCAGCGATCCGGACCCCAGCCCCCTCGGGGTTCCCTGTTTCCAGGAGTCCAGAACGTCAAGCCCCTTTACCCCAAAATCTAGGCGCTCTGCTCTTACCATCAGGCTCCACCTGATCCTCCAGGATGTCATCGATGCCCCGGTTCGGAAGCAACTGCGGACAGGCAGAAGCGGAGTGAACCTGGGACTCGCCTGATTCCTGACCACTGACCGCTGGCCCACCGCCTCTCACCTGCGCCCTCCGGATCGCTTCCTGCAGCTCCTCCTCCAGAGTCGGGGCTGCTGAGGCTGGTGCCGAGGAAGGGGCCGGAGCCGGAGCCGGAGCCGGGGCCGGAGCCGGAGCCGGAGCGGTCACGGGGGCTTCCGCGGCTCGAGAAAGAGGCGGCGGGGGCGACCCTGGGCTTGGCTTGGACTAGAACCCAGAAGACCGGGTTTCTATAAGCCACGCCCACTCGCGACCTGTGGCTCCACCCCCTGGTCCCGTCCCGGCCCTTCACTGCTCGACCCCTCCGGCCACGCCCCTTAGTCTCTCTCTCATTGGCTTCTCTTCCCCCCCATTTCCTCTTAGCCACGCCCCCGCGCTTCATTGGTTATTCTTTTTTCGACTTCCCGCCCCGTCCCGCTTTGTCTTCTCCTCATTGGTCCACACGCACCGAGCCCTGTCTTCGGGCGGCTACGAGGGCCTTGGGCCTGAGGCGTGGCCAGGGAGCTCCCGCCGCACATTCCTCGCGCCGCGGCTTCGGCCGCTCCCGGGAAGGGGCGCCTCCGCGCATGCGCTCCAGGAGCATCGACTTGGTCCCTGACACTGGGAGGCCCCGCAGGCGCAGCTGCTGCCGGAGCTCTGGGACCTGGGGCGGGGAAAGGCCGTGTCGGGCGGGCTCCGGGGGCAGGAGGAGGCCGGGGCTGGGCAATTGGAAACCGAGAGGAGGGACTGGGGACCCCGGCTCCCCACACTCACCGTCAGCTCCTCCAGTTTGAGGGTCTGAAGTTCCAACTTGTGTGGAGGAGGCGACGGGTTGGAGACTCCTGGGAGGGACTCGGGGAGGAGCGTGGGCTTCATCCTGGCGATAGTCGTGAGGGGAAAACAGGTTAGAGGAGCACACAGAGAGAAGGCATTCTTGGGTCCTTAAAGGCTGGGTGGGACTCGGGAAGAGGCAGGGAAATACGGGCCCAGGATTCTGGGTCTCAGAGGGAGCAAACCCAGGAGGCTAGTTCCTGTGCGAGGGAGAGGGGCGCTGGGGCCCAGACTGCTGAGGCCAGGACTCCTGGGGACTGAAGGAGGAGGGGCTGGGGAGCCGGACCCTTGATTCCTGGGGAAGGAGGGGGCTAAGGGCCAGACTCCCCTGACCCTGGACTCTGGGCTTGAAGGAGGATGCTGAGGGCCTGAGCTGCCCGGAGGACAGAAACAGGGGTCGTACCTAGGAGGTGGCTGCTGTGATTTTGTCTCTTCCCACAGAGGTGGCCCAGGGGGACCCACGGGCGACGCTTTGGCCTGGAGGTCTGCCCTGGACCCTTGTCTTGGCTCTAGGGGCATGTACTGGTGGTATGTTAAGTTCCCCTTGAGATTGGCCTCCCTCCAGTGTTGGGAGATCTTGGGAGACTCCTGAAAAAGCAGGTGATGTCATATGCTTCAGCTCCGTTCCTACTTCCCTGCCCCTGAGCCCCATGGGACAGATGGGGTCAGCTTGACACCATCAGAGAGGGGCAAAAAGGCCAGCAGGAAGGAGGACCAAAGCTAGACTCTCAGGAGGACTTCCCCTCACTCTGGTGGAGACTCACCTTCTTTAGGGACCTCCAAGAGCAGCGTTGTGGCTCAGGGTGCAGGACCCCAGAACTGGAGAGGAAAGGGGCAGGGCCCGAGGGCAAGGCTGGGATGGGAGCCAGAGCCGTGCCTGAGGCTGAGATCCACGGATCTGGATCCGAGACTGGAGAGGTGGTGAAGGACCCCGAGAGGCCTTTAGGCAGCAAGCCAGGCAGGGAGGAACAAGGTTGTGTGGGAAGGAGGGTCTTGGAGGCCTCAGATACACCAGCCCCCCTCCTGTGTGGGACAACAGGACCAGGGAGCAAAACCCAAGTGGTGGGAGCTGGGTGCCTGAACTTCTGGATCTATGGGCAGAAGTGCTAGAAATCCATACTTTTACATTCTCAAGAAAGGCAGGAATTGTGCCCTCAGTCACCAAGGGGTGTGGTGGCTGAGGATCACAGATTTCTGGGGTTTTGCTGGAACAGGGGCGGGGCCAGCACTCCTGGTCTTGGGGAAAGAGAGAAGCCGAAAGCCATGTCCTGAGATCCGTATGTGTGCCAAATGCAGAGTCTGGGACATTTTCTTCTAGGTTCATGCATTTCACTGGAGTGGGAAAAACCAAAGAGCTCCTAGGGGTGGGGTGGTAGAGGACCTGTATTCCTGGGACCTCTGGAGAGGACAGGATGGGATGGATTTCAGTGTCTCCTGGGGCATAGGGACTGAGCCTCAGGAATCAGCAAGGAAATCTGGCAGCTGCACTCCAGGGTGCCCCAGGGGAGTGGGGCCACCATCCCTTCCCTTTCTGGGCCCACACTTACTCGGGTCCTGATACCGTCTGTGGATCCGAAGCTGGAGGACTGTAGAGGGAAGAAGGGAGTGGGAGGAGAAAGGCGGGAAGGGAGTGTCCAGGAGCCTGGCCTGGCAGGCAGTTCGAGCTGCTGTTGGCGGGACATGCGTGCCCAGCCCCCTTACACACACCCCATGCAGGCGGGTGGGCAGGCAGCCTGCTCCCTTTCCTGGGCCTCCTGCCTGCTCCCTGCCAGCAGAGAGCCAAGGGCCAGAGCCATTCTGGGGCTAAGTGCCAGCCAGCGTGCAGGCAGGAGGCAACCCTGCCCCCAACTCCACCTGCCCCCTTCAGGAGTGCGTGCCCACCCCACCCTTGGCACAGTCACCACCTTGGCAGCCTGGCTCACTTGTACCTCGCCTGCTTTATCCATGCACTCCGCTTTTCACACACTTGCTGCCTTCTGTGCTGCCTCTGGGCCTCCCCACAGTCGCCTCCTCTGCACACCCACCTTCAAATACGCAGGCATTTCCCTGGGCTCTAGCTTTGCATACACACTTCCGTGCACGTGTGTATACCTTCTGACACTCACTCTTCACTCTTGGCTCACTCTGTCTTGCCACTCTTCAAGCCACATTAACACACTTATTTGCACAATCATGACTTGGTCCCTTTGCACATGTCTGCTCTTTGTACACCTGAACTCTTTTGCACACTCCTTGCTCTTTTGGTTACTGTGTCTTTGCACCCACCCACCCACATAAGCACACTCATTTGCACACTTAAGTACCTTTTGCCCACTCAGTAAATGACCTCCAGTTTCACTCACTTGCACACTTTCCACCTGCACTGGGACCTAAAGTACAACTTTGACACCTTCAAGGCTTGAAAGCTCACTGTCCCCTCACCCACATTCCCACACTGGCTGCCCAAAGTCTCCACTCTGTGCACTTCACTTTACATGTGTGTTGATTGAAGCCCCTGTTCCTTTACAGTACCTGACCCACTGCCCACTCCTCACTATTCACAAGAGCATCGTACTAGCATTTGCACACTCATTAATCCAACACAACTTGACCCCTTTGCTGGGGCCTCCTTTATGCACAACTGTTCTTTTGCACAGAAAGCACATGCCTCAAGGGTCTCACCACACCCTCCCACCTCACCCCACCCTGCACACTCCCAGAGTTAGAGTAACCCCCAGATCCAGAGAACCCCTTCCCTACATCTCACCAGATCGGAACTTGGAGCGAATGATTTGGGAGCGCTGAGAGGAAGCTGCCAGGGTCATTGCCAAGGCTGGGATGGGGACCTGGCCTGGAGGGAAGGCAGGACACCCACAGGAAGCAGGGTCAGAAGGGAGGTCAGGAGGTTGCCCCTGCACATGAATCCAGCAGGGAAAGAGCCTGAAGGATTCAGAGACAGGATAACTTCTGGATCCTGGAGGAGGAGGGTTCTAGGGATTCAAATTCCTAGGTCTGAGAAAGGAGGCATTGGGGGCCTGGGCCCCTGGGAATGAGGGAGGAGGGGGGTAGGAGCCTGGGCTCCTGGGTCTGAGGGAGGGGCCGAGGGCCCCAGTTCCTGAAGCTGAAGGGAGAAAGGACCTGGGGTCTGGGATTCCTGGGTTCTAAGAAGGAGGGCACTGGGGCCCTGGTCCCCTGGGTCTATGGAGGGGAGGAAGGAGAAAGGGGTGAAGGGCCACACTCACTACTCTGAGGGGACTGGAATCCAACATCCTTGATCAAGAGGGGAAAGAGACCTGAGAGGTCCCTGGGGCATGGGAAAGTCTCTTCCATCTGCATTTGAGAAGAGAGTGGATGGATGTCAGCCACCGTGGTCCGTGGGGAAGGGACTGGGTCCAGAGAGGGGACAGAAGAGTTAAGATGGGTCTCCCCCACCCCCAACCGCCACCCTATGGGCTTCTCACCGGGTGGGCTCCGGGTAGCTGTGCTCTGGAGCAGGTTGAGTCCCGCGGCCTAGGCTGGAGGCCGCAAGCTCCACCCCACCACCCTAGGACCCCCCCTTTTGGGGCGTGCTGGGAGCCGGCGAAGCGGAGCGGGGAAGACAGGAGCCCCGCCTGGGACCCTGAGAAGGGGCGGGAGCGCGGGCTGAGGGACGGGCGGGGCGGACCTCGGGGTTCCCTGGCTCGCTCCTCCTCGGAGTCCTGGGGCTGCGGGGTCGGGCGGGGCAGCGGCGGG